CAGCGAGCTTGCACCGGGCTCCGTGGCTGAGTTGGGGATCTCGCTGACACTCCAGCACAGTCCTTTGCTGGTCCTAGGACGCCAAACAGGTTAGCCTGTCCCAAGGCCAGCAGGGGCCCTAGCTGGAGGGCGTTCCTGCCTGCCTCTTCCGCCTCCTCCCACACCTGCCTTCCTGCGCTCTGAGTGCACCTTCCTCTTCATCACACCCTCTGAACTTGACTCGCCTCGGGACGTTTGCGCTGCCTTTCCCTCGGGGTAGGACGTCTTTTCCCCAACTTAGCTGGTGCCCGGCGCCCTCTCACCGTACAGGTATCTTCCGTAGGAGAGGCCTTTCTGGCTACCTTTCTAAACTAGCCCTGACCTCTTGGCCACTCTCCACATTCTTTATCTCCTTCCAAGCAAGTATCACGTATCCATTCAACAATTACTTACGTTCTTCACATTTAATAAATAGACAAAATTTCTGCCCCTTGCTGGGAGTTTGGAAGGGAGTCTCTCGCAACAAACAACAGGTCCGCAAACAACGCAGTGTATGAGGTGATAAATTCTTAAGAACGGGGTGGGGATGGTGGGGGAGAGAGCTGGGCAAGAAGGCTAGGGGGGTGGCCTGATGAGAGTTGGTGGAACAGCCGGATCAGGTGACAAATACCATTCAGTCACGCAGCTAAACGAGGAAGCTTTCCTAGGACGGAAAAGTCAGTGCCAAAACAAGGAGCGCAGGTGTTGTGCCTACGGCACGGGAAAGAGGGCACAGGGACAAACGGGGTCGGTTACTGGCTGTCTCTCTTGGCTTGGGTCCCCCGTAAGGAGTACCTCCCTTCAGTGTCAGTTCGGTAGCTCCGCCTCTCAAGAGACCTAACCTCTAAACAACTCTTGGCACAAACTAAAAACGTTTTTGTTGAATGAAGATTGCTAACCGGAGGATGTAGAGGTGGGTAGGACCCCTATAGTCGGATGTCCCGAGAACCTTTTGTCCCCTAGGCACCATGAGACCCTCGACCGTGCCTGGTTTACTGGTTTAGATCCCGGTCCCGGTCCCAAGGTAGTGCACCGCTGCGGGAGCCGCGGGAGCGTCGCGTCCGGGGAATTCCGACAGAGCCGGGAGTCCCGGGGGCTGCACTGCCTTGGCCCCGCCTAGGATCGTACGCAAAACCTGGAGCCACAGCGCCGTGGCAGCACCATTCGGACCGGCAGGGAGAGCACTGGGCATGCTCGGAGCCTGGGGCGCCCAGCGTCCGGAAGGAAAAACCCCCTGGAGGGGTTGGTGAGGCTGCACACCGAGTCCCACCTGGTCATCTCAGGCTCAGCCTTCTGCCTCCGGGCAGGGAGTGCTGGGTAACCTTCCTCCCCCAAGCATGGTGGGAAGACCATTCAGAGTCAGCTGACTGCACACTCTGTCCTCTACCAGCTGCTGTGTGATCTGCTACCAGAGCCTTGCGCTCTCTGTGCCCTAAATAATACAAATGCCTACGCTTGGATTCGGGGGCGTGTGGGGATTGGAAAAATAAAATAAAATAAAAAAGGACGTGAATTTATTCAGTCCACTTTAAATATTTACCCCTTGCTGAGGCTTGAATCCAGGGCTTTGCACACCATAAGCACGAATCTCTACCACTAGAAGCCTTACCCCAATATTCGTTTCGGAAGTGCCTATCTCAATTATGCCATCCTCTCGTAACACGGACTGCTAAGATGAGGCCTGGAGAATTCTTAGCGCTGTCCAGTTTAAAGTTGCTGGAGTAAAACCGTTACCTTTTCTCTGCTCATCATTGCTTAAGCAATGGTCTCAGATTCGAGCTAGAAAATAGCTGTGAACCTTAAATCCCTAAAGATTATTATTAATTTTTTGTTTTGTTTTTCGAGACAGGGTTTCTCTGTGTATCCTTGGCTGTCCTGGAACTCTCTCTGTAGACCAGGCTGGCCTCGATCTTCCACCTGTCTCTATCTCCCAGGTGCTGGAATTAAAGGCATGTGCTACCACCAACAAGCAAGATTTTTTTTTAAATTCGTATTTCAAATCACCATAACAGAACCAGGAACATAATAAAAGAAATAAAAGAATCCTCCTCCCCAACTGGAACAAAGCAGATGCTCAAAGGGAGGGTAATGATTGATTGTGTTCAGATCCATTCACTGAAATAATTACAACTAGATCTCTCGGGTCCTTGATATGGTTCAGTGGGTAAGGGCACTTGCAGACAAACTGACCTGAGATCAGTCAATCCCCAAGCCCCACCTGGTGGAAGACTGACTCCTGCAAGCAAGTTATGCTCTGATCTCCATGTGCATGCACATGCATACATACACACAATAAACAAATAAAATTATAACTTAAACTATTTCTATCACTATGCAACAACAGGAAACAACAAATGAAAATATTGAAAGCAACAAATTGTGAAAAGGTGGCATGGACACACCACTAAGAATGCAAATAATAGAATTTTGAAGCCAGGAGTGGTGTTGCAGACCTTTAATCCCAGCACTCAGGAGGCAGAGGCCATCAGGTCTCTGTGAGTTTGAGGCCAGCCTGATCTACAAAGCAAGTTCCAGGACAGCCAGGGCTTCTATGTTTTGTTTTGTTTGGTTTTTAAAGTTAATTAATGTCTTAATGTTGTGTGTGTGATAGTAAACACTTAAAGACCTGGACATGGTGACACATATCTTTAATCCCAGCACTGGAAGCAGAGGCAGGCAGATCTCTGTGAGTTCTAGGCCAGCTTGGCTAGCAAGTTCCAGTATAGCCAGTGCTCTATAGAGAGACCCTGTCTCAAAAACCTTCCCCCAAGTAAATAACACACACATCCATGATTAAGTTCAAATGTGGCCAATGTTTTCCATGAATTCTTCAATCTTTACAGTAGGTGGTTTGGTTTGTTTTTATCTCAGTTTCACTGAAAACAATTACAGGGGTGGGTTCACAGCTGGGGACAGGGATGGGTTCACAGTTGGTGACACACACTGGGGAGGATTTGAAGGCAAGCCCATTGACCTCATAGCGGGGTGTCAGGTTTTATGGTCTGTTGCCTTATATAAAGGAGCTAGCCATTGATTGATGAGTAAAGGAGACTGTCATTTTATTCTGCCCTTTGTGTGCCTTTCCCCCCCTAGTTTGATGTATTTTTTAGGCTGCAGATTACTTTTAACATTCTGGTCTACTGTTACTGTTTTGTTCTTGGGGCCAAAATAGTCAAGCCCCGCCTTTTAATCCGATGTGGCTGGATTGGCGTGATGTTATTAGCCTCAATGACAAGTGATTTTATAGTGTACATGTCCCTTCTTTTGTGAATGGGACTTTTGGATGGACATGTAATCTTCACGGCTAACTCTAAAGCAAATAACGCCCAGTAGTGAATAGGACTGTTCTGAGCCCCAGAGAATGAGGCCAGGCCCAAAGGGATTTATGTAGATAGATGATGTCCCTGGATAGTCATTTGGGGCTAGGGAGTGGGGACAGGGTCATGACTTAGTGGAGACACATTGTCCACAGACCCTCTCAAGACTCAAGACTGTAATGCGATGTAGAGTTAACTGTCCTACTGCTGTTTGCTGGAACAAAGCACCCCGCCCCCAGCAGCCCTTTTACAATTAAACGCCAAATTGCTCTTTGTCTTGTTGGTGTTGGCTCAGAAAATTAGTTAGAGACCAGATTGATGGAGGAGAACAGTGTGAACAGCAAGCAAAGTTAGCAGCAGCCCCAGGAAGACACCATTTGTGCGTAATGCCCAGTGTCCAACACTGCATAGCAGCAATTGGTTGAGGGCATTAGTGGGAAGAGTTTCCTGGAAAAAGCACCACAGCCCATCAGTCACTCGCATCAAGACTCAGGAAATCTGGACAGTGATTGAGTGGCAGGGCTCCCCGCTGACTTGCTAATGCTTATGAATTATTTGTGCTGTTAATGTGAGCTCAAGAGGGGTTCCAGAACAGAGAAGGACGGGTAAGTGGTACTGATGGAGCTCGGGAAAAAGAATAAGCAGTCAAGCCTTGTGCATAGGATGGTCTCCACGGAGAACAAAATCACTGGGTTGAACCATAGAAGGTTGCCATTCTGTGGGTCAGAATGAACACAGGAAGCTTCGTGTGTTTCAACTCAGTGAGTGCACAGAGGGAAGCTAATGAGCAGCATAAATCTGTGAAGGGTGGCCGGGTCTCACTCTTGCCTTTAGGAACAGAGAAGCAGCCACAGACGGCATCTTACATGTGTGAAAATGTCCTTAGCATTCACAGGCTCTCATTTTACAACAAGTCTGGTTTCTTTTATTGTCAGGGGAAAAAAATGAAGCAAATGTTAAAGCTTTCAAGAGAAAAAATGCGGAAAGAGAGGGAAAAGTGTTACTTGGAGATTATAAAAAGTGAAAAGAAACTTTTCATGGAGGGTCAAGCAAGCCTCTCCCCATGTGGTGGCAGGTCCCTGGCCCAAGAATAAGAGAGAGGAGGAAGAGGTCAGTTATAAATTAAGAAGTATAAGTCCAGGACCCCTCAAACCTATAGCATTATTTCAACTATTTATTAGGCACCTACTGTGTGCTGGGCATTGCTCTACATGCTTAGGAAACACCAGTGGCAGTGGACAAAGCAAAAAACCCAACCTTGTCAGCGTTGTGGGTAATGAATCTGGATGCAGGGAGTTCAGAGGAATAATTGGCAACTCTTGGGGATGTGGCTCAGTTGATAGAGGGCTTGCTTAGCATGCATGAGCTCCGCAACAAAGTAGGCATGGTGACACCTAACATTGGCCTGTGATCCCAGCACTTGAAGATAGAGGTAGGAGGTTCAAAAGTCAAGGTTGCCTTGCATAGCAGATCCCTTTAATCCCCACACCCAGAAGGCAGAAGTATGTGAATATATGTGAGCTCAAAGTCATCCTGGTCTACATAGTGAGTTCCAGGCCAACCAGGAAAAACACAGTGGGACTCTGTCTCAAAAGACAAAACAAAAAACAAAAACCCCACAAAACAAAACAAAAACAAAAAGCCAAGCAAACAAAAAACCCACTAAAGTCATCCTCAGCTGCATAGGGTGTTTAAGGCCTTCACAGGCTACGGGATACAACCATCTTATATAAAACTAAGAAAATTATTTAAACAGACCTGAAGGAGAGGAGGGAGTTATTCGCACAGGGTCTGGGAAAAGAATCTTCTAACAGCCGAAGCAGCCACTCCTAATATCCTTGAGGGGGCAGATGTACAAGAAGGAAGCCCGAGGCCTTGAAGAAAGCAGCAGAGAACAAGGTGGAGAGCATTGAGGACAGAGACAAGGGCCTTTGCCACCAGCACGAGGAAGGACTCGGCCCTCCTGAGGTAGCCATTTTCCTGGCAGCTAAATGCACCTGCCAACACATCCCAGGTAAATGTTGTTCCTGGTCTACTTGACAGTGACCTCAGATTCAAATAAGGGGTTGAGAATCAGCTAACAGCTGTCCCTGATGAGGTCAGCCAGGTGTGAAGACTGTTCATACAGGGAAAGACAGCATTAACCATTTCTCTTAGGATGCTTGGACCTTCCAGTACCCCCCCCCCCCGTGCAGGCCCCTAGGCATGTACCTGACAGAACCAGACCATAATAGACCCTATGAATTATCTGCTATTTGGGAAAACAAAAACATAAGTGGAAGGACTTGTGGGGTCCAGATGTGGAAACCCAATGCATTGAGGCTTTAGAAACAAAGACAATGAATAATCCAAGGACGGATGCTGTCATCCTGAGCTACAGCTGCCATTTCTAAGCACTGACCTAGAATGAAATGGGTACTATCACTTTCCAGAACCTAGAAGGGTTTCTCAAATGTCCCAGCCATGCTCTAATGTTCCTATCCTCACCAAACCAAAGAGCAGAAGAGAAAGGAAGAAGAGATGGAGAGAGGGCACGCCTTCCAGATGTCAGGCTCTGCCCGTGACCTTGGCTCCCTCTCCTGAGGCCAATAGCAGCTAATCATGTGACAGGAGAGGAGGGAGTGATCACAGCCGTGATGTTTGTTAAGGGGAATAGACCTTAAAATAAACATATTAGAGTACTTGAGTACGCAGGATACACAGAAAAC